TCTAGAGCCTCCATTTTTGCACTCAGGTTCAAAGTCTCACAGCCCTCTATCATAATCCAGAGTTTTGAGAAGATTGGAGAAACTTAATTTTTCGGCCAAAAAAAAAAAACGAAGAGGGTAACACTGTCGTTTTTTTTCGGGTCGAATTTTTGAATTTCGATATCTCAGCTCTGGAAGGGTCTAGAGCCTCCATTTTTGCACTCAGGTCAAAGTCTCATGGCCCTCTATCATAATCCAGAGTTTTGAGAAGATTGGAGAACTTAATTTTTCGCCCCAAAAATGAAAAAAAACGTAAGGGGTAACACTGTCGGGTTTTTTTCGGGTCGAAATTTTTGAAATTTTCGATATCTCAGCTCTGGAAAGGTCTAGAGCCTCCATTTTTGCACTCAGGTCTAAGTCTCATGGCCCTCTATCAGAATCCAGAGTTTTGAGAAGATTGGAGAAACTTAATTTTTCGCCCCAAAAAAAAAAAACGTAAGGGGTAACACTGTCGTTTTTTTTTTCGGGTCGAAAATTTTGAGTTTCGATATCTCAGCTCTGAAAGGGTCTAGAGCCTCATTTTTGCACCCAGGTCTAAGTCTCATGGCCTCTATCAGAATCCAGAGTTTTGAGAAGATTGGGATACTTAATTTTTCGCCCAAAAAAAAAAATGTAAGGGGTAACACTGTCGTTTTTTTTCTGGTCGAAATTTTGAGTTTCGATATCTCAGCTCTGGAAGGGTCTAAGAGCCTCCATTTTTGCACTCAGGTCTAAGTCTCATGGCCCTCTATCAGAATCCAGAGTTTTGAGAAGATTGGGGATACTTAATTTTTCGCCCCAAAAAAAAAAACGTAAGGGGTAACACTGTCGTTTTTTTTTTCTGGTTGAAATTTTGAGTTTCGATATCTCAGCTCTGGAAGGGTTTAGAGCCTCCATTTTTGCACTCAGGTCTAAGTCTCATGGCCCTCTATCAGAATCCAGAGTTTTGAGAAGATTGGGGATACTTAATTTTTCGCCCCCAAAAAAAAAACGTAAGGGGTAACACTGTCGTTTTTTTTCTAGTCGAAATTTTGAGTTTTGATATCTTAGCTCTGGAAGGGTCTAGAGCCTCCATTTTTGCACTCAGGTCTAAGTTTCATGGCCCTCTATCAGAATCCAGAGTTTTGAGAAGATTGGGGATACTTAATTTTTCGCCCAAAAAAAAAAACGTAAGGGGTAACACTGTCGTTTTTTTTCTAGTCAAAATTTTGAGTTTTGATATCTCAGCTCTGGAAGGGTCTAGAGCCTCCATTTTGCACTCAGGTCTAAGTCTCATGGCCCTCTATCAGAATCCAGAGTTTTAAGAAGATTGGGGATACTTAATTTTTTGCCCCCCCCCCCAAAAAAAACGTAAGGGGTAACACTGTCGTTTTTTTTTCTAGTCGAAATTTTGAGTTTCGATATCTCAGCTCTGGAAGGGTCTAGAGCCTCCATTTTTGCACTCAGGTCTAAGTCTCATGGCCCTCTATCAGAATCCAGAGTTTTGAGAAGATTGGGGATACTTAATTTTTCGCCCAAAAAAAAAAAACGTAAGGGGTAACACTGTCGTTTTTTTTTCTGGTTGAAATTTTGAGTTTCGATATCTCAGCTCTGGAAGGGTTTAGAGCCTCCATTTTTGCACTCAGGTCTAAGTCTCACGGCCCTCTATCAGAATCCAGAGTTTTAAGAAGATTGGGGATACTTAATTTTCTGCCCCAAAAAAAAAAACGTAAGGAGTAACACTGTCGTTTTTTTTTCTAGTCGAAATTTTGAGTTTTGATATTTCAGCTCTGGAAGGGTCTAGAGCCTCCATTTTTGCACCCAGGTCTAAGTCTCGTGGCCCTCTATCAGAATCCAGAGTTTTGAGAAGATTGGGGATACTTAATTTTTCGCCCAAAAAAAAAAAAAACGTAAGGGGTAACACTGTCATTTTTTTTTCTGGTCGAAATTTTGAGTTTCGATATTTCAGCTCTGGAAGGGTCTAGAGCCTCCAAATTTGCACTCAGGTCTAAGTCTCAGGGCCCTCTATCAGAATCCAGAGTTTTAAGAAGATTGGGGATACTTAATTTTCGCCCAAAAAAAAAAAAACGTAAGGGGTAACACTGTCACTGGTCGAAATTTTGAGTTTCGATATTTCAGCTCTGGAAGGGTCTAGAGCCTCCAAATTTGCACTCAGGTCTAAGTCTCAGGGCCCTCTATCAGAATCCAGAGTTTTAAGAAGATTGGGGATACTTAATTTTTTGCCCCCCCCCCCAAAAAAAAACGTAAGGGTTAACACTGTCGTTTTTTTTTTCTAGTCGAAATTTTTGAGTTTCGATATCTCAGCTCTGGAAGGGTCTAGAGCCTCCATTTTTGCACTCAGGTCTAAGTCTCATGGCCCTCTATCAGAATCCAGAGTTTTAAGAAGATTGGGGATACTTAATTTTTCGCCAAAAAAAAAAAACGTAGGGGTAACACTGTCATTTTTTTTCTGGTCGAAATTTTGAGTTTCGATATTCAGCTCTGGAAGGTTTAGAGCCCCATTTTTGCACTCAGGTCTAAGTCTCGTGGCCCTCTATCAGAATCCAGAGTTTTGAGAAGATTGGGGATACTTAATTTTTCACCCCCCAAAAAAAAATGTAAGGGGTAACACTGTCGTTTTTTTTTTCTGGTCAAAATTTTAGTTTCGATATCTCAGCTCTGGAAGGGTCTAGAGCTTCCATTTTTGCACTCAGGTCTAAGTCTCGTGGCCCTCTATCAGAATCCAGAGTTTTGAGAAGATTGGGGATACTTAATTTTTCGCCCCCCAAAAAAAATGTAAGGGGTAACACTGTCGTTTTTTTTTCTGGTCGAAATTTTGAGTTTCGATATCTCAGCTCTGGAAGGGTCTAGAGCCTCCAATTTTGCACTCAGGTCTAAGTCTCATGGCCCTCTATCAGAATCCAGAGTTTTAAGAAGATTGGAGAAACTTGTTTTTTCACCCTAGAAAAAAAAAACAAAGGGGTACCACTGTCGTTTTTTTTTTTTTTTTTGGGGGGGGGGTCGAAATTTTGAGTTTCTCTGATCTTCTTGAAACTCTGGATTCTGATAGAGGGCCATGAGACTTAGACCAGAGTGCAAAAAATGGAGTCTCTAGACCATTCTAGAGCTGAGATATTGAGATTTTTATAATGGCATAAATGCTACATGGGATCTCAATATCTCAGCTCTGGAAGGGTCTAGAGACTCCATTTTTGCACTCAGGTCTAAGTCCCATGGCCCTCTATCAGAATCCAGAGTTTTGAGAAGATTGGAGAAACTTATTTTTTCACCCTAGAAAAAAAAACAAAAGGGGTACCACTGTGGTTTTTTTTTTTTGGGGGGGGGGGGGGGGGTCGAAATTTTGAGTTTCTCTGATCTTCTTGAAACTCTGGATTCTGATAGAGGGCCAAGAGACTTAGACCTGATGCAAAAATTGAGGCTCTAGACCCTTCAGAGCTGAGCTATCAAAGATTTTATAATGGCATAAATGCTACGTGGGATCTCAATATCTCAGCTCTGGAAGGGTCTAGAGACTCCATTTTTGCACTCAGGTCTAAGTCTCATGGCCCTCTATTAGAATCCAGAGTTTTGAGAAGATTGGAGAAACTTATTTTTTCGCCCCAGAAAAAAAAACAAAAGGGGTACCACTGTCGTTTTTTTTGGGGGGGGGGGTCAAAATTTTGAGTTTCTCTGATCTTCTCGAAACTCTGGATTCCGATAGATGGCCAAGAGACTTAGACCTGAATGCAAAAATTGAGGCTCTAGACCCTTCCAGAGCTGAGATATCAAGATTTTTATAATGGCATAAATGCTACGTGGGATCTCAATATCTCAGGAAGGGTCTAGACCCTCCATTTTTGCACTCAGGTCTAAGTCTCATGGCCCTCTATTAGAATCCAGAGTTTTGAGAAGATTTTTTCGCACCGGGGGTCGAAATTTTGAGTTTCTCTGATCTTCTTGAAACTCTGGATTCTGTTTATTTGTAGTGTACTGATAATAGTTTCATATAATTAGTTTGTTAATTAAACTAATAATTATAAATAATTGATTTCTCTATAAAATAATACTACAAACACTTAAAAATAAAAAGATTAGTGCCCTGTTTTGAGGACAAGAAATGAAAACCAATGTGGTATGATGAATGTCCTAAAGATGGAACTCTGCAATGGCCACCTAGTGTTCAGTAGTGTTCATGACATGTTGATATGCCTTTAAGATGACTTCTTCTATGGCGTTCGTTATTGTATGCGTAATGTTGTTATGTGAGCGCGCACGCTCAGTGAGAGTGAGAAAGTTCACACAAAGAGGAAGAAGATGACCGATCTATCGCGGGCTTGTTGTTTTGATATAATGCGTTTACTTCCACTTTGATTTGTAGCGTTTTACAGAGTGTTTTCTTTAACCTGTTAACATCCGCTCTTTCGACATGTATGTGAAGAGTGTGCTTAACTGAAAGAAACCAACTATAATAGGACTCGTGGAACAACCAGTTCATTTGCACTGTCTTTCCTACTCTTCTTCTGGGACCACAAACTCTGACAGACGTTACAACACACGGACTGTTTCAAACAGGGGTTGGATACATATGTTTTGCTACACAAATATAAGTAAACACTTTGCAGACTGAACAAAATGACGGATGTTTTTCATGACTCCACTGTTTGATCGCACCCGCGTGTCTCACACACAGGTTACGTTACCTTGTAGAAAATATTTGACCTGGCTGGCAGAACGATTGCCTTTGCCTGCATCTTTGCGGTGACATGACTAACATATTTAAGACCTATCCAATCTGAATTTAAGACAATTTAATACTTTTTAAGGCCTTATTTTTAGGAAAATTGATTGAAGACTTTTTAATACTTTTTAATGACCCGCGGCCACCCTGTCCATCACCATGTCCCTTTAGGCGCTCCATAAAAATAAACGTCAACTGAAAATATAAAAAACGTTTTTTTATAGATATTTCAGCTAGTTTTCAATTTCTCGTTTTCATTCAGTTCAACTTGTAAAAAAAATTACAAATGAAAATAAAATGAATAAAAACGATATAGACATTTAAACAAAAAAACATTACAAAAGCACACAAAAAAATTACTACAAATAAAAAATGACCTTGCGAGAAGAGGGTTGGTCACTTTGCTGAATTCCAGACACATGAAGCGTCCCCCTGGCTTAAGGACGCGCAAAGCCTCTTGTAGAGCCTGCAAACAGTGACATCATCATAATAACTAGAGACCTACAGAATGATCAAAGACCTCATACACATCATTCTTCAAATGGAGAAATTAATAAATGATAACAACATGAAATGCAATATGGACAACAATTCAAAGTTAATTCAATTCAATTTCAAACTTTCAAGACAGTGTTATTTATTTCAGTGTCTATTATTAAACTGTTCAGCAATCTGATGTGAAGTGCAGAGTCTTTACTTGCTCTATGTGGGTGACATTTCTGATGCCGAAGGCAATAGTGTATATGTCAAACTGATCGTCATCAAACGGGAGCTCTTCTGCATCGCCTGCGACCCATGACAGACCTGCAAGCATGTGACAATGAAATCAACCTTGATATTTCACTCCAAAACATGCATAATCATGTCTTTGGTTACAGATGATCATACCTGTGGTAATTTCTGCTGTCTCAGCCTTTTGTTTTCCAACTTTGAGCATTTCTTTATTGATGTCACACACCACAGCCCGTGACTGTGGAGGCCCTGCATCGTTGGACAAATAATGTTCAGAGATGTCCTGCCATGATGGTGTCTGACGGGATTTTGCTCTTAGCCGCTGCTGACGATCATACATCGAGCGTGTGTACTCCAGGAAGCGGAAAGATATGTCACCTACAGCAGAATAGCACATTTCTGAATATGTACGAACATCTAGGGCAAGGGTTTTCAATATTTTCTGTGCCATGGACCCGAAATATGATCATCGTAATCCTAAAATTGTAAAGGCAGCTATATGTGTACTGTAAGGAAAAAAAATCAAAATTAAAAGTGGCTTGACTCTTGGCTTGCCATAATCCTAACCAAACGTATATTACACACAGTGCATTTCCTATGCATGTAAAAACAAATTTTCGCGTATAAATTGCACTATGAACGCACTGCGTGCGAGACGCATTTAGTGTGACCGCGTTGATATATCTAGAGCCTCCATTTTTGCACTCAGGTCTAAGTCCCATGGCCCTCTATCAGAATCCAGAGTTTCAAGAAGATCAGAAAAACTCAAAATTTCGACCAAAAAAAAAAAAAAAAAAAAAACGACAGTGTTACCCCTGTCGTTTTTTGTTTTTGTTTTTTTGTGCGAAAAAATAAGTTTCTCCAATCTTCTTGAAACTCTGTATTCTGATAGAGGGCCATGGGACTTAGACCTGAGTGCAAAAATGGAGGCTCTAGACCCTTCCAGAGCTGAGATATTTATAATGGCATAAGTGCTACGTGGTATCTCAATATCTCAGCTCTGGAAGGGTCTAAAGCCTCCATTTTTACACTCAGGTCTAAGTCCCATAGCCCTCTATCAGAATCCAGAGTTTCAAAAAGATCAGAGAAACTCAAAATTTCAACACCCCCCCATATTTTTTTGTGCGAAAAAATAAGTCTCTCCAATCTTCTTGAAACTCTGGATTCTGATAGAGGGTCAAGGGACTTAGACCTGAGTGCAAAAATGGAGGCTCTATGGCAACCAAACGTCACTGGTGAGACAAAGGTGCAACGGACGGACGGCCAGATTATGTTTTGGCAGGGAAAAACTGATCAGAAAATGTAATGAAAATGTAACAGAAGTTGTAGAAATGTAGTGGAGTAGAATTGCTGCAAAATGTAACGAAGTAAAAAGTATGCGCTATTTATTCTACTTAAGTAAAGTAAAGATACGTGAAAAATGTACATAAGTAAAGTAACAAAGTATTTGTACTTCGTTACATTTCCACCACTGGACTTAACCGAAATGATATAAAGAATGAGTTACAATTTTGACTTACCTGTGCCACCAGCTGTGTCCAGTAGCCGTAGCCCTGGCTGAGGGTTCATAATGTGCAGCAGTGTGTCTTTCCACAATCTGTGGATTCCCAAACTCATGGCATCATTCATCACGTCATACTTCTCGGCCACACTTTCAAACACCTTATACACTGAGAGTTGAAAAATAACGAGAGAAATGGAAATGTCATGCATGCATGGCTTAGTAGTGGAAAAGGTTCTAGCAGACACTAATATCACACACTCAATTTAAACACGTTTAATTAGGCATAGATAGACAACTAATTATACTAATGAACATACATAAACAACCATACCAAATATGAAGGCAGATACATAGAGATGTGTTGCCAGTATAGTTTCCATATAAGTTACTTGTATAGAACGACTAAAAAGCCAGTATAATTTTGTTTAGGTATGTGAAATTTAGCTAGCAGGACGCATAAATGTATCATGTAATATTGTCATCTCTTTTGAGTTGTCAAACAGTCCTAATAAACAGATGTGTGTAACTCACCTTTCTGTGCTTTCTCCTCCTCTGGGATTGTTTGGAATCCAAAGTGCGTATTTCTGCCCTCTGTGCTATCGCTATATCCTCGACACCCTGTGATCCCAGCACGACAGCATACATGTTTGATTCGACACCGTGAAACATGATGAATATTTCGCGTAGAGTCGGAGAAAAATCTTAATGCCCTGATGGAGGCCGCCATGTTTCTCTCAAGTTCAGTTGCGCAAGTTGTACGTCATAAACCCGTAACGAGACGAGTTGTAGTTCCAGCGGATCTTTGTTGGACTACAAACTGATCAAATATTCAGTAAATATTAACAGTAGTAAAAACTATGGTGCTTGACAACCGGCATTGACTTGCATAAAAAATGAACCCCAAGTTAAAGATGTCTTGATGAAATTTTTTTATTTTTTTAAAAAAGTGGCAATTTAAAGCCCATTTGTGTGAGCCATGCGAACGAGCCAAATGTATTATGTGTGTGTCAGTGTGTGAAAGCTTGTTCTGTGGCGATAGGTTTGTTAACAATTATCAAAATAATAATAAAAAGATAATTTTACTTTATGTAATATGTAGGCCTATAATATGTAAGCTTCTATATAGGCCTATATTTTTGTCGTGTAAACGAAAGCATTGTCTAACTATTTGATATTGTCACACAAACGAGTTGGTAAATCTTAAAAATGTATTTAGGCTAATAATTTGAAAAAAAAATGTTTCAGTAGGCGCGAAGAATTATTGATAGATATTTCTGGATTTCAAACTTTATTTTTTTTTTAATAGGCCTATTTAATAGTATTATTTGACTTTTCATTATTGTTTGGTCTATATTCTTTACTTATTTCCCTTGATTTAATTACTGTTCATTTTTTATTGTATCACAACTAACTGGAAAATGTTAATGCTTTGGTAATTCAAGTATGGTTAAAGACACATTACCACATTCAATAAAAACAAAAAATGTAACAGAAATCCGCTAAAACTCCACGAAATGTCATGTCATCTAAACATTTGTTGGTTGAATTAATCTGTAATGTCACTTACTGAATGCAACTGCTTTTCACACAATCACGTATGTGTTAAGTAACCCACACCACCAGTAGAGGGCACTATAGGATTCATAGTCATACTTGTTGATGACACAGTGCTTATGACTGAAGTCACCAGCAAAATGTAAATGCATGTCGAACTGCTTGTTTGCCTGCCTGAGTGGATTTCATTATATGTGGTATTTAATAAGTAAAGGCTGATTGCATTTATTAGTAATCAAACAAATCACCATTAATAGATGCATTAGCTGTGAGTGCATCATTTATTCAGATCAGTAAAAAAAAAAAAAACCTCATTGATGAATTGTATTTGTTTTGTGATTCATGTTTGTGTTGCATGGTAATATTCTGAATGTGTTCACCTCACATACCATGAACATCTGCAGGTGGGCAGCCACACACACGCGCGCACACACCACACACACACACACACAGGGGAAATGGCTTACACATGGGGCCTGTAATACAGGCTTTGTTTGTGCATCCACTCTACGTCTGGTAGTCATTTTATCTGATAAGCATTTAAGCAACGCAGAAAAACATCAGAGCTGAATTTCTTCCTTCCTTCACTTTTTTCCTCTTCAGCAGATGTTGTTTTGGAGGTCTGTCTAGTTTTCAACTGCATGCTTGTTTGCATGTTCCCCCCTTTGTCATCTCTGTTTATATGGGTGTGGTTGTGCATGAAACTTGGGTCATCTTACAAGCAAATTTTGGAGTCTCCCGAAGGATCTAATTTGCATTGTAAATTCCCTCTCTCTCTCTCTCTCTCTTCTTACCTCTATGTAAATGATTGCATGACATCATTAAAAAAGAGAGAGCATTGGTGACAACTCATGATGTATACAAACAAAGCAAGCAAGACAG